GGGTGGTTGGGGTGGAGATGAGCTGTCTTTCAGGGAAGGTGGCAGGACACTTGGGCAGGGCAGGGCCAGGAGCTGGGTATAAATAACCCCTGCCCAGCTGGGAAGGCCTGGCAATGCCCTTCCCCCTCCCCCTCACCAGCTGCCAGTGCCAGGCGGGTCCCTATCCCCCTTGGGAGCCTAGCCATCGTCTGAGGTCCTAAGTGTAGGAACTTCCTCAGCGGAACAGGAGCCTTGGTCTGTGTGTAGGTGGAACCTCCGGAGGCCTGGAGGGCTGGGGAGTGGGGATGAAGGCCTGCGAGAGGGGGGTGAGCAGACGGGCCTTCTGGGGAAGGCCTTATCCCTTCATTCTTTAAAAAAAAAATTATTTATTTAGAGAGAGGAGAGGGGAGGGAGAAAGAGAGGGAGAAAAAAACATCAATGTGAGAGAAAAACATTGATCAGGTGCCGCTTGTACATGCCCTGACTGGAGTCTGAACCCACAACCCAGGCATGTGCCGCTGACCAAGACTCAAACTGGGGACCTTTCTCTCTGTGTGATGACACCCAACCAACTGAGCCACACCAATCAGGGCTGTTCCTTCCTTCTTCCCTTTGAGAATCAGCATGTACCCAACCCCTGCCTGGCCTTTTGGTAGGCCAAATATGCTCCTGTTTCTCTGTGTGCTTGTGTGTGTGTATGTGTTGGGCGTGTATGTGTGTGTGGGTGTGCATGTTAACGGGGTGTTAAAGAAGAATGGAAGGAGACACAACCTCGAGCTTCAGGAAACTTACACTAGCACAACCAGATGGAATTGGAAACAAATCAGTTCAGCACTTTGAGATAAGAAGGTTTGAATAAGGTAGAGGCAAAATCCAGAGGGAGGAGAGGTTGCTTTCGTGCAGGGGTTGCCTTAGGTCACGCATGGAAGTCTTTGGAACGCAGGCAACCCAGGAATTGGACATTGAAGGGTGGGCAAGAAGTTTGCCGGGGCTGGAGCAACGGAGAGGCACCCCAGGCGGAGGGCTCAGCGCGGGCAAGGGCACAGAGGTGGGAAAGAGCCGGCTGCAAGCCCCTCGGCAGCCTGGACAAATCTAATCAAAGCCACTCACACTTCGGTGCGAAGAACTGAGGAGAAGGTGGCTCACTGTGCGACCTCCCCCAGAGGATCGTTCACTTCAGTAATGGGGACAAGGAGCTGTGCGTTAAATTCGCATGAGCCTGCGGCGGCGGTAGGACTTCAGACGCGAGCGGTGTGTGGGGAGTTGGCTCGTGGTCAGGTGGCAGGGCACGGCTGTGGGAGGGCCCCCTGGGGAAATCGATCCCATGGCCACTGCCGCGTTAGCCCCAACACCAGCCCGTGGGGCTGAACCTTCATCCGCAGAGGTCCTTGCTAATTACCGGCGGGATGTCCAGATCTGAGCTAAAACCCTTGAATGGGGCCTCATGGAAACGTCATTATGCCCTTGTCTTTGCCTTTGGGTCACCTTTAACAGCCAGCCAGATGCATGTCCGTGTAGTCGCCCCAGCTGGGACAGAAGTGCCAGGCAAGGGGCCAGCTTTGCTCTGTTCCAAGTCATCCCCCCGAGTGATGGGTGGGAACTGGCTCAAAAGTGTGACGTGTTCTATTAAGTCAGGGATGGGAGGGCAGGAGGAATGGAGTTGATGACAGGCAGGGGACAAAGTGCTGGGGACAGTCCCTAAGCACGTGGTAACTACAACGAACCCCATTTGCTGAGTGCTTCCTATGTGCCAAGTGGTTTATATCATTTATACCTCCCTTTATGTCAATTTTACAAATGAAGAAACTGAGGCACAGAGAGGTTAAGTAAATTGCTAGAGTTCAACAATTAGGAAGTGGCAGAGCTGGGTTTGCGCCAAGGCAGCGTGGCTCCTGGCTACACAGTTGGTTGGATGTGGGCAGCCTGAGGAGGCAGGGTTGGTGAGATGAGGGAGACAACTCCTCATCCCGAGGCTTGGCGTTATCCTCAGAGGACATTGCACGTGGACTCAGACAAACCCAGGGTCAGAATTCTGACAACTTCCTTCCATAGGCCGCCCAGCTTCTCTGTGCCTGTTTCCTCATCTGGAAAATGGGATGATAGCACCATCTCACAGAACTATGGGGAGGATTAAACAAGATAATATGTACAAAGTGCCTGGCATGTAAGTGCTAAATAAATGGTTGCTGTCCGTATTGCTAGTGTTGAGTGTGACTGCAGAGGACAAGAGAAAATCTGCATCGGTTGTGGGAAGGACTTAGCCAGCAAGGGCTTGTGGCTCTCAGGGGAGGGGAGGGGACCATGGCATCTCCTGCGGTTCTGCTGAGCTGGGCAGGCTGCTGAGGGCCCTGTGGGAGGGGGCTGGTGAAACTAGGAAGCAGAGAGCCCCTCGAAGGCTTGGGGTGAGGAGCAGCCTCACCAACAGGAAATGAAGCGCCAGCAGGGGCTTACCCACCCCTCGCCCCCGCCCCCCGCCCCCGCCCCCCATGCAGTGGCAGCCAGCTAACCAGGCTCTGTGCATCTGGGGTATGGCCTTGGGCAAGTCACTCTCTGGAGGTCTCTGCTTCGCCCTCTCTTAGGGCTCTTCTCATAGGTCCTGATTCTGACCCAGGGCTCAGCCTCCCACTTAGCTTGAGGGTACCCAGGCCTGCAGAGGTGGCAAGAGGTGCAGGGCAAAGGCTGGGAGGAGGAAGGGGAGGAGGAAGGAAAGTGATGGAAGGCAAGGGAGGATCCCTGAGTGCCCTCGGGCCCCATGTTCATCTCTCTGGGTAAAGGGAGGCTGGAGCCTTGAGAACCTGGCCTGGCTGGTGAGCAGACCGGTGAGCGGGGAGTGACGTGGCGCACGTATGCACACCCGGGGACAGCGGCGCTCCTGGGACAGGCCTGCCCGGGTTACAGTGTGCAGAGGAGAAGGGAGGGCCAGGCTCGTGCAGAGCACGGGCACTGCAGGGCTGGTCCGCACAACCAGGGACGGGCAGGGACCGAGGCACTTGTGGGAGACTGGGCAGTACTCTGGCCCAAGGAGAGGGACTCCGAGGCTGGGTATTTGGGGTCAGGTCTCCACATGCTGCTCTGGGGTAGTGGGGGCCCGGGCCAGGATGTGGGGAGGGACAGGCAGCCACTGCCATATTCCTTTAGAGAGTCCCCCATGGCTCCACACTTATGCCCAAACACAGCTGTGGCCAGTGTCTATCCTGCCTCAGCTGCCCTCTCCAGCTGTCCCCATATTGGGCTTTGGGTCCTAAACGTCAGAGAAGGGAGCTGAAAAGGCCTGGGCTTTTTTCCTGAATCGGGGAGTTCGGGGGAGGTCCTCTTGCTCCTGAGCCTTCTTCCCAGGATAGCTCTATGCTGAGCCATCTGCACTGAGCCCGGGCGCAGCCTCCCTCCGGGCCAGCACAGGGCTGCTGGGACAGGCTGGGCGTGCTGGCTAAGAGCGCGTGGAGAGGCAGCCTGAACAGGGAGGGAGGCTCAAGTCTGACACTTTGCAGTCCTGCAGATGGGCAGGTTACTTAGCTCCCTGGCCTCAGTTTCCTCATCTATAAAATGGGACGGTAACGATGATAATGAAGTTCCCATCTTACAGATGTGCTGTGGGGATTACATGATGCGAGCAGTCGCAGCCAGCCCAGCATGTAGTAAGCAACAGGGACTTGATGGTCATTGTTAGCGCACTAACCTGTTTGTAACTGTAAACAGGGCCGGGCAGGAGAGGGCAGCCTGCCGGGCCCTGTCAAGTGCTGTGTGCCAGGTGCCCATCAGGGGCCTCTGGGCCGACCCTCTCCCTCCCACGTAGGCATGGATGGGCCCAGGGTGCAGACTGGACAGGCTTGCGGCCACTCCCACCCCTCAGGACCCAGGCAGGCATCGCGCAGAGGGAGAGCAGCACAGCTGGCTTGCCCCTGGAGTACTGGAGCCAGAAGGCATGGGGTCCAGTGAGCAACTCCTTGCCAGTTCTGTGGTCCGGGCTGGTTTCTCAGCCTGCAAGGCTAAGCTTTCTGAACACGTCCTGTGTCATAGGGTAGTTGAAGGATTGAGTCAGGCAGAGCCAAGGAAAAGACTCAGCCCAGTGCCTGGCACGGGGGAATTCAGGAATAGCCGTTCTCAGTAGCAAGCCAGGCCTGCCAGTTACCCTTCCTCCTCTTTAAAAGGGCTTGATGCTCAAGATCTGGAAACATTTCATAAATGTTACCATCCAAACTCCCAGATCTGATTTCCCAATCCTTGCCTCCAGAATAAATTAACAAATAAAAAAACGAGGTGCCTGCCTTATCCCCCTGACAACTGAACCCAGAGCTGGCCCAAGGTGGATGCACACCACGCCCCTCCGCAGTGCCCACCACCAGCAACATAGTAAGAGTTGTTAAAGGGCAAGCGTTTGCTTCATCACTGAGTCTAGTCCAGGAAGCTGCTATATGGCGTTTCCTGATCTGCCCCCGGGTCTTCTGGACCCTCTTCCAAAGGCATCTGCCATCACTTTATGCGGGGAACTGAATTGCTGTGTGCAAGTTCCCTGTGGGAACTGAGGCTTCTCTGCTTCTTCTGAGATGGGGCTGTGGGCCCTAATCCCATTAGGTCTGAGATCCTTCCCATGGGTCATTGAAACTCTCATTTGGACCCCAGAACCTGGACTCCCTGGGAGGTTGCCCAGACCAAACCCTTCAGCGCTGATCAGGGAAACTGGCCCAGAACCTGGGAGGGACTTGAACCTGGGCACCCAATACCTCCTTTCCAGTCCTGGTTTCTTTTCATGGTATTGCAATGGTCCCCAAGGGTGCCCAACTGGTGCTGGTCTCCACGCCCTTGCAAGCTGGGTATGTCCATGTTGGAGGGCTGGCTTTGCCTGGATCCGAGCCCTGCCTCCGAGGGCAGCCTTCGGGCGCCGGGTTTCTCTGGGCATGGGTTTGGATGCACGGGCCCTCTGTTGCTGCACCTACCCAGGAGGGCCGCTGAGGAAGGAGTGATGCCCACGATGGGCTGTGTGCTTTGTGCTTGCAGTGCCACTATCCTCTGTGTGCCCGCAGGTCCCTGGCCCTGGGCCAGCAGTACACGTCCCTGGGCTCTCAGCCTCTGCTCTGCGGCTCCATCCCAGGCCTGGTCCCCAAGCAACTGCGCTTCTGTCGCAATTACATCGAAATCATGCCCAGTGTGGCCGAGGGTGTGAAGCTGGGCATCCAGGAGTGCCAGCACCAGTTCCGGGGCCGCCGCTGGAATTGCACCACCATAGACGACAGCCTGGCCATCTTCGGGCCCGTCCTTGACAAAGGTACTGCCTCTGGCCTGGGTCGGAGGAGGGTGGGAGTGGGCAGGCTCACCATCAGGATGAAGTGACTCTTCCATCTCAGCGTGGGTGCCTCAGCTCTGAGCCCAGGGTCCTCAGGGGAGGGTGATGACGCTGGTCATGACCTAGGGCCTCCATGGAAAATGGATTAGGCCCTTCTCTGGACCCACCCAGGCTGTCGCCATGGCTGCCATGGTTCCCCAGGTGCTGCTGGGGGCTGGGCAGCCTTAAGAGGCTCTAGGGTGCCCAGATCCAGGGCAGGCTAGGAGGCTGCAGCCTTCCTTGCTGCTCAGCTTGCACAGCGGTGGCTCCAGACTTTGATGTGGACATTTGTGACATTTCCCCAATGCTGTGTTAAGTGTTATGCAAATGTAGTTTTGGTGTGGTGTGGGGGGCATTGTCCCCCCCCATATCCCTCCAAATAGAAAATTCTGGAGCTGAGGAAGCTGCCTGGTGCTGGTGGCACTACATAGCTCCCAAGTGTTTCCCTGAGACTTTCCACTTGTACCCATGCCCCTGCAAACTGCATATGCCCAAGGATCGTGGTGGGGGCTAGAGGGCGTGCGGGTCTCTGGGTGGGTTCCCAGCCACCTTGCCACTGGGGAGTCTAACCGGCTACGCTGCAAATGAAGAGAACCACACAACTTGACTGCAAACATGAAGGCACCTGGCGAGGATGAGGGGGCAACTGCTTCCTAGATGGGGACTCTGGGGCTTGGTGAGTCCTGGGGTGCAGACGGGTGACTCTCTGAGAAGCTGCAGCGTCCGGGAGTTTAAGGGTCCCATCTGGCCTCCGGGGAGCCACCGCTCTTTTCCCACAGCGACTCGAATCCTCGCGCCACCAACAAGGCTTTGCCACTCAAACCCGCGAGCCTGCCCTCCCTCCTGTTAGAAGAGCTGCATTTGCAGCCAGAAAGAAAAGAGATGTGAAAGCCACGGGGGTCTTGGGGGTTGGTACTGGCAGGGAATGTGCCAGGGGAAGTTGACTCCCCCGTCTCCAACCGCACCCCCACTCCCGCCCCGCCCCGCGCCCAGAGTGCAGTCCCCCTTAACCTGCGCCTCAGGTTCGCAGAGTAAGTCCGACCTACAGGCTATTGTCATGGGACCGAAGGGCAATTAGCGAATCAATGGATGATGATTCTGTTTACGCTTCTGTTACCAAAGCTAATTATTCCTTGTTTACATAAAAGGTTTGGCCTCTAATTGGGGCCAAGTGGCGGCGGTTTGCATTTCAAACCTGATCTTGCTGGTGTGTCAGTCTCACCGTCTTCCGGTGCCCCACCTCGGGCCAGGTAGCGCTTAATCAAACAGCCTGGCGTCTGGACGCGCTCCCTGAAAGCGAGACTCACCTTCTGATCGCCCTTCCCCGCTCGGGACAGCAGCCAGTGGAAATCGGGGCTTTGAGCTTATTACCCATTCACGTATGCGTTTCACGGTTTAAATCAACCATTGTAGGATCTAGAACATGCCTTCATTCCTAAATTGCAAGAGGGCAGTTGTATGTTGGGGGAGGGGTGATAAGTCAGAGACAGAATTTGATGAAAGCTAAGAAGTCCCCGGGAAGAAGGTCCCCGCGTGCACACGCGCCCGGGTGTCCAGAGCAGGACCGCCCTCACCCCTCCCCGCCGGGTGGGCCGCCCGGGGTTAATCTCTGCCCCCGCTTTGAGACTAGGGTGGCGGGGAGCCGATCAGCCCGGGGGCGCGCATCCTCCGCGGAGGCCGGGGACGGACGCCCCAGCCTGGGGCTCTCCCCGAGTGGGCAGTCGGGGCGGGGAGTGGGGCGCGGGGGTCGCCGGCCGGAAGGCTGAGGACGGACGACGGGGCTCAGGCGGCGGCGCAGCCAGCCCGAGTGCGCTCTCCCCGGGCGGGGCCGCAGGCGGGCGCCCGGAGGGGTTTAAGCAGCTTGAAAGGGGCCAGAGCGTCGCCCCCCACCGCGCGGCCCGGCCCCGCGCCCGCTGCGGCCGCCGCGCCATTCACACGCCCTCTGGCCATTCGGCGCGGCGCGGGGGCGGGGGGCGCCGCTTCAATGGGGATTTCGCGGGCCGGCGCCGGGGCCGGGGGCGCGGCCCGGCCGCGGGAGCCGCCCGTTGCTACGCGGTGGCGGCCGGCCCGGCGGCCCGGGCCCGGCGGCCGCATTATGCGGGTAATGCGGTGTGACACCGCGCGAACAAAGGCGGATTGAGTGGCCCAGCGGGCCCCGCCGGACGGGGACCGGCACAGCGGGGCTGTCAGCGCCGCTCCCAGGCTAATCCCCGCCCCGCCCCCGCCGCCCCCGCGTCCCCGGGGCTGGGAACCGAGCGCGGCCCGGGGCCTGGGCGCCGCCGCTGCCGCGAGCAGCCGCGAGTCCGGCCGGAAGCGAGGCCCTCGCCCTCGGCGCCTGTCGGCCCCGGGCGCTGACCGGTGGGAGGGGGCTGGAGTTGGGGAGGTGGGGGGACCGGGTTCGGGACCAGGGCGCAGCGCCACAGGCCTTGGCCGCCGCCTGGCCGTCGTCGGCCCTTGCTGCGCGGGCGCCACCGCGCTGGTGGGCCCGCCCTGCGCTCCCCTCCCGCTTGCTCAGGGCAGGGGGACCGGCCCCTCCTCTGCAGGTGGCCTACGGGGGCGCTGGGGCCTCTAAAGAGGCGGCAGTGACTACCAGGGGGATACTAGGTTCCCTTGTCTGCCGAGCTACCGTTTTCGCAGCACTAAAGGCGGGCCCCCTGGCTTCTAGGCCAGCACCATGTCTTGCAACCTGCTTGGCCTCGGACAGGTCACGCCCCTCCTGTTCTGGGTCCTTGTTGGATTGCCTGTCTTTCAGGCCTTTGCTTCTCTAATCGTTAGTTTGTAGAATGGGTCTACGAGACTTTGCGCCTCACGGGGTTAAAAGGATTAAATAGGAGATAGCACCTGGGAGGCAGAATCTGGTGCCTACTGAGCATCCAAAGGCAGTTATTATAATGAAGTTGAGGGAACCCCTGAGAATCTCTTCTTTTTCTTCCCTGGACCCTGGGGGCAGAACCAGGGGAACTGCCCTGTGTCCCCTTCCTCCCTGGAGGGACTTGGCCTTCTCAGCTCCAGACCTTGGCCTTGTCTGGGTGGAGAAAGGGAAGAGGGAAGGAGACTGAGATGCCGCCCTCACCCCCCTGGTCAGGAGCTCTGGTGGCAGAAGGAAGTTGTTCCCATTCTGGGAAGAGGGTCACTGCGGATCGGAAAAGGAAGTGGTCTGCCCAGGTGCATCCAAGTGGGGAGTCAGGGACTTGGGTAGGTGTAGGCTGTAGGCTCCCAGGCCTTCCCCCTCCACAGACCCCAGGCTCTCAGGACTGCGAGGGCTCAGGCCTGTGCTGGGGCCTCTGCAGTTCGGAAAGGTGGAGGGCAGCGGGGCCTGGGGCTAGGACAGAGAGCAGGGCCCCCTAATCTCTTCAGCAACCTGCCCGAGGAACCATTTTTACCCCTATTTTTAAGAGACACTCTTCTGCCGGGTGTCAAAGCCCTGGTTTAATCAGTTAGTGGCCCTAGGCTCAGTTTGCTCATCCCTAAAGTAGGGACACCCACCAGGGGCCGGGCCAGCCAAAGCGGGTCTGAAGGGGCCCTGGGATTCCTTCCTCGCCCCTCTGGCTGGCGAACTCTCCTTCCCGGCTGGGGAGGGTGAGGCCGGGCGGCCAAGTCCCAGGACCTGGCCTGAGCAATGCCTCCCAACTCACTCCGTGCAGCCACCCGCGAGTCGGCCTTCGTGCACGCCATCGCCTCGGCCGGCGTGGCCTTTGCTGTCACCCGCTCCTGCGCGGAGGGCACCTCCACGATCTGCGGCTGCGACTCCCATCATAAGGGACCACCCGGCGAGGGCTGGAAATGGGGCGGCTGCAGCGAGGACGCTGACTTCGGGGTGCTAGTGTCCCGGGAGTTCGCGGACGCGCGCGAGAACAGGCCAGACGCGCGCTCGGCCATGAACAAGCACAACAACGAGGCGGGCCGCACGGTGAGCCGCAGCTGCCCTTGTCGCGACCCTTTCTGGGACCCCCTCCTGACCCTGCCTGGGAGCCTCCTGCCTCAGCCCCTTCCAGTGGCCCTTGTGCAGACAGGGCTCCCCGCCCTGCCTCTTTCCCCTTGGCCAGGTTTGGCCCCTCCCACACGCCCCGCATTCACCCCTTCTGCTCACTGTCCTTTATGCTTGGACTGTTCTGGTTCTCCTCCCTCCCAGCGATGCATCAGTGGGGAGTGAGTGTGGTGGCAGGTACCGGCAGCCCATCCTGTGTGTCCCAGGTGCCTGTGTAGGCCCATGGGCCTGGTTTTGACCTCAGCACCCACCCCGTCCTATGGCTGTTTGACTTAGGATGAGACACTTAAGTTCCCAACCTTGGTTCCCCCATCTGGTAAATGTGGATAACAATTCCTATTTGTTATGGCTTTGAGAAAGGGATGTGATTTCTGCTGATGCTTGGGGTGTGAAGGGGAGGGAAACTAGAGTCCCCATTCTATGGGTCTGTGTCTCAGTCCTCCATCGGTTCTCCTGCCAGCACGGGGTGGGAATGGTGAAGGCTCCGGAGGTGGGGCTGGGCCAGGCGGAGCTCCCGGGGGGAGGGGGGGGTCCGCCTGGGGGCCAGCTGCTATTCCTCTTTCCCAGACCATCCTGGACCACATGCATCTCAAGTGCAAATGCCACGGGCTGTCGGGCAGCTGCGAGGTGAAGACCTGCTGGTGGGCCCAGCCCGACTTCCGCGCCATCGGCGATTTCCTCAAGGACAAGTACGACAGCGCCTCGGAGATGGTGGTGGAGAAGCACCGGGAGTCCCGCGGCTGGGTGGAGACGCTCCGGGCCAAGTACGCGCTCTTCAAGCCGCCCACGGAGAGGGACCTGGTCTACTACGAGAACTCCCCCAACTTTTGTGAGCCCAACCCCGAGACGGGCTCCTTTGGCACCAGGGACCGGACTTGCAACGTCACCTCCCACGGCATCGATGGCTGCGACTTGCTGTGCTGCGGCCGCGGCCACAACACGAGGACGGAGAAGCGGAAGGAGAAATGCCACTGCATCTTCCACTGGTGCTGCTACGTGAGCTGCCAGGAGTGCGTCCGCATCTACGACGTGCACACCTGCAAGTAGGGAGCCAGGTAGGGTGGCGGGGTGGGGAGGCTGGGGCCTTGCTGCACGAACCTGGGCCTGCCTGTCTCCTCGTCCTGATGGCCTTGTTCTAGCTCTCGGCTACCCTGGACACACGTTCCCAAGAGGCTGCAAGCAATTGATTAAAATTCTCATACATGTGAGTCAGTTATGAGCCAGGTCAGATTTTTGTACGGCCATGGGCTCTCATTAGTGAGCATCTGTGGACACAGAAGGGAGACACCGTGGGGCTGGAAGCTGGGAGACCTGAGCTCTGATGCCAGCTCCGCCCCAAACTTCCTGTTTCTTCACTTCTCTGGGTCTCAGTTTTCTTACTGTAAAATATGGAGGTGAAACTACTTGAAACAGTGGGCCGAAAAGTCTTTTCTACAAACCCTGGGGCAGAGTCGCTTTGCACCCACCTTGAACTTAGAGGGCAAGTTTTTGCACAAGCATAAATCCTACCGACCTCAAGGAGGTGGGTGGGGGGAAGCTGTGTGTAAGCCCATATCCTGACAGATCTGAAGCTTGGGTGGAGTGGGGTGCACTCTCACTGAGTTTATGGACGGTGATGGGGAGGAGGAAGGAGCCAAGTTCTGAGTGACGGTGGTGAGTAATCAAGGGATCAAAGGCTGGCGGATTATGTTGCCAAGCTTCCCAGAGGTGGCCTAGCGTGGGAGACAGTGCGCCTGGCCCTCAGATCCATAGGTCCCCAGGATAGGTCAAGATTAACGAAGGGTGGCCCTCGAGTCTTGGAGGCAGAAGGTTTTGAGGCCTATGTGCCCTTGCTTCCCTTTCTCTGCCCCGAGAAGGAGCCTAACATACAGAGGCATGAACCCTGGTCCTGCGCCCACCACCTGCCAGCTGTGAGATGCAGCCATGATAGTCTTTGCATACCTGTCTCCTCGTCTTCGTCCTCCCTAGAGGTGCTATGAGGAACAAGGACCACTGGGAATAGTGGTTCACGGCAAAGGGCTTGCCTGCCTGGGTCATCGCTGGCTGGGGATGTGTCAGTGAGAGCGCCCCACTGCCTCGTGTGGTTCCACACGGGGTGCCTCGGAGCTGGGGTGCACGCTTGTGCCGGGGAAGGACTTTGTGGGGAGAGCTCTGGTTGAGGGACAGCTCACCCAGTCCGTCTGGGAAGCCCCTCTGTGTAGCTCAGGTCGGGGCAGAGTCTACAAAGGTGGTTCCCGCCCCGCTGCTTACAAGCCGCGGGCCCTTGGAGCCCAGTTTCCTCATCTGTGCGGAGATGGTGACCCCGGGAGCCTCGCAGCAGCGTTATGAGGCTCGAGTGAGCTAAGAGATGTGGCTGCTTGTCAGAATATAGTACTAATAGAAAGTGTGACAAATGTTGCCGGGGAGCTGTGATGTGAGGGTGGTCACTGTGCAACGAAGCGGAGTCATCTCTTGGGCAGGTTCATTGAGAACGACAGCGAGTGAGAGAGAACCCACAGGCTCACCGTGGCCTGTCAAGGGGGAAGGAATGTTTGAAAGCACAGAGGCCACTCTCCCCTGATGCCATTTGCAGACAAATGAATAAAATGTACATGTTGGTACTCCCATGAGAATTCTTAATTTTTTAATTAAATAGATTTCCTTCTGTTTGGACATCAGGGCCAGAAGCAACACAGTGTCCCCACTACCCATGGGGACACAGCTCTGGCCATTCTGAGAGGGGATGGTGGAAGAATCGAAGTTTTCGATCACTCGCCCTGTACAGAGGGCCGGCTGTCTAGCCTGCTCACTGCACAGATTGGAACAATGTGCCCAGGTCTCCGCCTCCAGAAAAAGCCCCAATGTGTGTCCAGCAGAGGTCACAGCAGTATCCCCAGGCCCCGCGGCGACTCCAGGGTGTCAGATTCAGGCCCCTGGGACTCTGCTCCAGTACCTCCCCTCCCCTGGTGGGCAGCTGAGATAAACTGCCTGCCAAGCGGGGGTAGAGGGGCTGGGCTGGCCCTCAGCATCTGGAGAGCCCCTTCCTTGTCTGCGGCCCCTATACAAACACTGATCCTAAGAAGAGACAGTGCTCTCCACCTGCCATCTATCCCCCCATTCCGAAATTGACTGTTTTTCCAGTCTTGTGGAAAGTGCTAGGGATGGTTTAAGATGCCACGCCCAGGCAGACTGTGGCCCCCAGGCCCCTCCTGTGTGGACACCCTGGAGCCCTTGCTCTGGGACAAGTGGAGGATTTCCTCCCAGTGTGGTGCCCTGTCATGGAGGATTCTGGGCAAGCTGTTTAGCTACTCAGAGCCCTGGCTTCCTCTTGTGTGAACTGAGGATGAGAACTATGCCCCTACTGCAGGGCTGTGGTGTGGACTGCAGCCGTGCCACCAAGAGCCCTGGCACAGCGTCCAAGTGCTCCCGAGGAGGTGGCGGATGTCCCCGGGCCAGGCTGACCACCAGGCGCAGCTGCCCCCAGGTCGGCTGCTCGGTCTGGAGCTGTAGGCTGGGACCCCCCCACCTCCTCCTGCCCTTTCCGCCACACTGACGCTCTGCAGGCAAAGTGGGAACTTTTGAAAGAGGCTGGCAGGGATGACATGGGATGGGGCCTCTAGCTTTTCTCTCAGGTGCCCTGTCTCAGCAGTGCAGGCAGGAGAGAGAAGGGAGCCACAGGGCGGGACCTGTGCCCTCTACACACTGGGCCCGGGGGGACACCTAGTCGAAATGGCTTAGCTATGCCACAGGACGGCCAGACTTCCTATGGGGAAAACATCTTTTCCACCACTTGCAGCTTTTGTCCAATGTTTCAGGCTAACCATGATTTCTTACATCGCAAGTACCAGGTTTATTCCTTGTTACTCAAATGCTGTGAGCATGGTAAGCAGGAAGGACTTTGGACAAGGATCAGGTGGTCTCACGGACCCCTGTGACTGGATCTGTCACTAACTTGCTGTGAGACCGTGGATGTGTCCCTCGCATCCGGCAGAGCCTGTTTCTGCCACTGTAGAACGGCCTCCCGCTGGCCCAGGCACCGAGAGCTGGTTGGGAAAGCCGGGGAAGCTGCCGCAGCCAGTCCTTGGTGAGGTGTAAATAGCCAAATGAATAAAATGTACACGTTGGTGCTCCCGTGAGAAGAATTCTTAATTTTTTAATTAAATAGACTTCCTTCTGTTTGGACAGCTCATTATGAAACTATTTGGTTCATGATACAAAAACACAGTGCCCAGGAGTGAATAACATGTACACATTGGTGCACCCATGAGCAGGGATTATTCATCATTTAGTTAAGTAGACTTTCCCCCGTTTGCGCAGCTCGTTCTGAAACTACCTTGTGTGATACAAAAACAGCGCCCAGGAGTCTGCTCTGAGTTAGCCACTGGGCCTTATATCTGCCTAGTCTCTGTACAAGAGATTCCTATATTGGGGTAGTTACTGGATACAGGGCTTCCCCAGCTAGAAGGTTAGGGACATATGACTTGGATGCCAGTCTATGGATGCTAAAGCCCTACAGTTCCCGTAGACCACACTCCCTTTCTCAGTGGTGGACCCCAAGAATAGGAGGGAGCAGGGGAAAGCCACTCAAGGTCACCGTTACCTCCAAATACAAGAAAAATGTTGAGGTCTCCTGTCAGCAGCCTGTGATCTCTGTACCTTTATGGGAAAACAATTACGTTTCTAATTCTTCCTCTTTATTTCCCGAAGGGCGCTGGGAACGGTGGAGTGTGGCTGGGCAGATTCACTGAAGTCCCGTGGGGAGCAGGACCTAAGCTGGGCCCGGCCCTCAGCATCAGACAGCAAGGAATCCGGACTGTTGCCAGATGCACGTGTGGTAAATAACCTGGACCCAACCCGCCTGCTGACCGGGAGGCCTCCTCCCTCCCTCATCTTCAGTTTCTCACCCTACTCTGGATGGTGTGCGGTTTTTAAAGAAGGGGCTTTCTTTTTACTTCTCTGGGGTCTGATAGGAGCAGACCTGAGGCTTATCTTTGCACATGTTAAAGAAAATAAAAATGGAAAAAAATTTCTACTCCAACAGAACAGGCTGGGCTAATGTGAGCTCTTTGCCTGGTGCTAAAGATACCAGCATGGGCAAGATTCTGTTTCCAGGCTGCTTCTCATGGGGATGTCCAGGATGCCTGTGAGGGGGGGTGAGGAAGTAGGACACCCCTGCAGCCTCCTTTTCTCTGTCTACTCCCATTCAAATCTGCTACACTTTCACGCTCTGATAAAAGCCATAGGTTGAGCTAGGATGAAGCGGGAGGGAGGCCCAAGGCAATTGTTAGAGTAGGGTTTTCAGTTTTGAAGAACTAGGAGTTCTAGGTGACCTGGTAAGCTGTTTGAAGAGTGGCTGCGTGTTCTTCTCAGCCTCATTCTCTCTGTAACCCTGTTCTGCACGAGAGGCTCTTGTGAACTGCAGTCAGATCTCAGAATCTTTTTCTACCATTCTGCAGTTTCCACCATTAATGCAGTACTTTTGTGTGCGTGTAGCGGACTTTGTAAATAGGTTGTGTATGGGGGAGGGGGAGAACAAGCCTCCTCCAGCCCAAATGGCTTCCTAAAGAAAGGAGCGGTGTCTTTGGAAGGGGCCACTCAATCCCTCCCAGCCCTGCTCACCTGCAGAATCTCCATCAAAACACCAGGTGAGCAGTGGGGCTCTAGGTCACCTTAAGATAAATTAGACAAAAAGGGCAAGTAAAAGGGTAGCAATCTATTCCTGCAGTTCCAGTTTCGAGACTAGTATTGTAGACGGGGAGGGTAAAAATGATCCTTTCATTTCCTCTCCAGTAAGGACTCGTCTTCCCGCATCCTATTCTCTCTTTGGCCCGTGTGAGTGAACAGAAATGCAGACTTCCTAAACATGGATCTTCCGGCCTGCCCTGCGTGCTGATAAGCATCCGTCCGTGCAGTTACTGAGGATCAGGATTAGGTGTTCAGAGCCGGGCAAGCAGTCACCTGCTGCCTTGGGAAAAGCACCTCCGGGCTCAGTTCTTGATCCACAGTGGTTCTCTAGAGTGTCCTAGAGGACGCTAGCAAAACGAGGGCAAACGGATTTGACAGGACGG